TCACGGCGCGGTCCGTGTCCAGCGTATTGACATCTCAAACAACAGGTGCGTTTGTGTTGTGTGAATTGTGTGCTGTGTGTGAGTGTGTGCGTGTGCGTGTGCGTGTGCATATATGTGTGTTCTATGTGTTGTGTGGGTGTGTGGGTGTGTGTGTGTTCTGTGTGTGTGTGTGTGTGTGTGTGTGTGTGTGTGTGTGTGTGTGTGTGTGTGTGTGTGTTCTGTGTGTTCTGTGTGTGCGCACTGCTGCGGTTCGTTACTGACGTGGTTTCGTCGTCATTGCTGCAGCTCCGATCACTTCAGCGCCTTTGTTGGAAGCAGCTCACTCATCTTCTCCCACTTTCCCCTCCTCACACACACATACACACACATTCACACGCACACACATACATACGCACACACATACACATACGCACACATACACATACACATATACATACGCACACACGCGCCGCGCGATAAAGGTTGACACGCCTTCCCGATGAATGCGTTGGACGGGCTGTCACGCCTCTCCAGTCTCCGTGTTGATCGCAATCGCCTGCGACGGCTTTGGCCGCAGACCTTTGCCACAAACGTGCGCCTACGCCACTTCTCGTGTTCCGGAAACCTCCTCACCCACATCCCGTCTGGTCTCTTCTCAGCCCACCCCGACCTGCACACGCTGGAAGCCTCAAACAACCCGCACCTCACCAGTATCGCTGCGGATGTGTTCCGCCATGCACCAGGCCTGCGCGCTTTCCGCCTCAGCAACACGGCCATCACGCACCTGCCGCCCACACTGCTGCACAACCTCACCTCGCTGGAAGAGGTGCAGCTGTCGCTGGTACGCGAGGCAGCGGCAGGCCGCGATGACGCTCACGCTCACGCCGTTGCCCCGTCCCCGCTCATCACCCTCACAGGTGACCACTTGCGTGCAATGTCACCCGACAGGATGCACTACTTGGCTCTCACCAACGTCGTCCTCACCGCTGAGGCCGTGCAAGTGCTCGGTGAGCGGTTCTCCCTCGCCTCGCTGTTTGTGGGCTGGGCCGGCCTGAGCGACGACAGCCCGCTGCTGCCGGCCATGTGCAGTGCGCTGCAGCAGAACGTGCGCGACCTCTCGATCCGCTTCACCAGCATCACCACGCTGCACGCATGCCCGCAGCACAACATCTCCTCCCTCCACCTGCAGGACAACCACGCCCTGGCAACGGTGTTTGCGGGGCCACTGAACCACCTCAACGCCTCCGGGTGTCACGATCTGCACACGCTTCGCTCCCCATCCATTGGCATTCTCGACATCTCCGACACCAACATTGCATACTCGTCGCTGCTGTGCCGCTTCTTGGGCACGCGCATGCTGTTTGCACGCCGCCTGCACCATCCATCCTTCAACCAGGCTGCTGCGTCGCAGCAGTTCCTGCGCTCGTGCCTCTCCCGCCTGCAGGTGGTTGACGTGTCCCAGAACAACTGGCTCAACAACCTCGATCTGGTGACCAGCGCCGCACGCGCGCAGACGGTGCTGGGCCCCGCAGACGCCGATGCTGCAGGCAACAGCGTGGGCAACATTTGGAACTCCAATGACGAGACCATCACCGAGCGCAGCAGCGCCCCCTTGTTTGCGTTGGAGGGCAGCCCTGTCCAGTGCCGCTTTGAGCTCATCCCGCTGCGCATTCGCCGCAGCGTCATGGACGCCCTTGTCACGGAGATTGGCTACACCTTCAACTGTGGGTGCGCGCCGCAGTTTCGCAGGCAGGGCGGGCAGTGTGTGCCCGACGCGCTCACAGCTGCCGAGCTTACGGGCATTGTGGTGGCGGCTGCGCTGTTTGGGCTGGCGCTGGGGCCCTGCCTATTTGCCATCTACCGTCGCCGTCAGCGCAGCAGGGCATACCGCGTACAGCTGGAGTCCGAGAACGAGTTGCAGAAGCGCCTGATTGAGGAGAAGGATGAGGAGGTGATGGCGCTGAAGAAGGCGTGGGAGATTGGCTTTGATGAGCTGCACCTGGTGTCACGCATTGACGCTGGGTCGCCAGGAACGTTTGGCGAGGTGTGGCGAGCAGACTGGGACACGGTACAAGTTGCCGTGAAGATTTTGCGTGAAGGCATCATGCTCATGGACGAGAGCACCGTTGCCGAGTTTGGCAGGGAAGTGGAGTTTCTGCAGCACACCCGGCACCCCCACGTCGTTCGCTTCTTCGGCGCCGGCACAACGCCAACAGGGTCACCCTTCCTCGTGCTAGAGCTCGTTGCGTTTGGGTCCTTGCAGTCGCTCCTGCGACGTGACTTGGCAGAGGTGCTGCGGTCTGTGGAGGGCGATTCTGCTGTTGGCCCTGACAACCACAACGACAACAACCATGTGCATGGCACGGTTGATGACACCGCTGCTGTCATCCCCAACACCCTTCTTGCTGAAACCATTGACGTGCGCGACAATGACGGTGGTGACGATGGCAGTGGTACTGGTGATGCACTCGACAGCAACAGCAGCAGCAACAGCAGCAGCAGCAGTAGTAGTACATCTGAACCTGTGCAGGAGGATGCAGACGCTGCCGCGGTGTGGCGGCTCAAGGCTCGCCTGATGCGGGACATTGCCTACGGCATGGCGTTTATCCACAGTCTGGGCCAGCTCCACCGGTACGGGTATTGCACGCTGTTGTGTTTGTGCACATGTATGTGGTTTGTGTGGCATGCATGCATGTGTTTGTGTGTGTGTGTGTGTGTGCGTTTGTGTGTGTGTGTGTGTGTGTGTGTGTGTGTGT